AAAATTATTAGATAAATGACATTTACCTTCTGGAGGCATTGGGAAATGCAAATCCTCATTATTAATTGTCTCGTTCAGTATCTTAGAATCATTAGCAGACCCCTCCCATCCAGCTACGACGTATGTGAACATCATATCAAAATCACAAACAGCCATTACATTTTGTGTGGTATCCCCCTTCCTACCACGAAATGGTATTTGCTGGTCCACAGGCACGTTCGCATGGACATGAGTTCCATCAATTGCCCCAATGCAACCCTTAAAAAAAGGGTGGTATTTTTTTGATTTCCTTATATGGTTAGGAACTTTGGTAGAATCTGGGGCGACAATTATCTGTTTCCCTAAATCACAGATTTTTTGTAAAACCGCATGAAAGTATTTTGAAATTGTATACGTAGAGTGTTGAAATCTTTCTGCGACCACACGATTCCTTTCATTATGAGCTAAAGTAAGCAACAATATGCCAACTTGTTCATAAACACTTACACCTGTTGAGTCTTTCAACCCTAATGACTTAAGCTCCCCACACAACTTCAAAAAAACAGGAGTGGACATCCTGAAATTTTCAAAACATCTATTTTCATGTCCATGCAATATCTCCATTATATATGCTTCCCCGGTTAAAAGTGAATCCCTACAAGATCGTTTCTCGTAATGTTTATTATAATAGTCCAACATGCATGCCATTATGATGACACACTTATTCTCCTCATCACCATCATCATACAAGTCAATTATTGTCCTAATATCCATCTATATAGTACAACATTTAACAAACATTATAAATTACATCAATGTTTCATTTTGTTAAACAAAATAAAAATTATTAGGGCAAGGTAACAACTAAAATCAGAACAAGCGAAATATTCATATTGTCATTACACTGAAACTAAATAACATATCAACGAGTGTACTTAATATTACAATCACCCAAAGTCATAGCAAAAGATAATAACAAATAAAAGCGACGCACAGAAAGTCATAATATGTAGTAATACAGTCATCCAAATTCATAATAAAACCAACACGCCAAGTCATACTCTATTGATCCAACCAACCCTCTTCTCATCCGGAAGGTCATTAAGAAAGAAATCCCTCCAAAGTTCATCATTACGTAACATCTGGGTGACCTTAGCATATTGTTTCATATCAACGCTCTCCAACTTATTTAGAATGTAACAACATAATTTAAAATCACCCTTTGTCTTATTTGGAGAATTTACTTCAACCTGCCCGCTTCCTACCCTATTTTCATATTAGATGATGAAGAAGCGACTATGGCCCTTTCAATTCGCTCTATTTTCTCTCTACTAACCTCACTCATTTTCTCCATGACACGATCCATTGTGGAGGCAAAACTCTCTCTCCTTACTTTCTTACCACGAGGGTCAGGAGAAGGACTGAACTCATGACCGCCTAACTCAGCAAAATCATCATTAAGGTCAAATGACGATTGTGTGCCTTCATGGTGTGCAGGGGTTTGGTTGAGAATGGGTGGACTGTAGGAAGTATGGACATGTGCACCTGTAGTGTGTGTGCCTCCAAATACAGTTGTGAGCTTATCAAAATGATTGCATAGCTTCTTTCGATACTTACCATATTGGGAATTCACCTACAAATTATTAAATTACTATTAATATGAATTGAAGTATAATTCTTTGTAAAATCAACATAATTTATTTAAAAAACTAACCTTGATCAATCTAGTCCATCTTTCATTTTTAACTACAACCATGCCCGTCTCAGCATTATATCCCACGCTTGTTTCTCCTAACAAACTCATAAAGGCTTTGTAGTCTACCCTCAGGTGGTTGAATTTGCTCTTAAGTTGTTTCAGTTCATAGTTCTTGCCTGTACACCTACTCATGCTTTTCCGTATATTCTTCCAACCATTTGGTGTAAAAGTTGTGTTATTCCGATTACCGCCATAGACTTCTTCCTCCATACAGATGATGAAAGCTTCAAGATGGGAATCATCCCATACTAGTTTTCCATCATCGGTATTCTCTGTAAGGTCCTCTATTTTTGAGTCCACCACATTGTCAGCATTGATATCCATCTAATTTTAATAAAAATGTGTTAAAAGGGTCATTAACAACTGTAATCTTAGGCAATAACATCGTCTTAACTACACAATTATCATCACGCCATTAAATGATCAAAAAATTTGAGTTGTCATACTAACTTAGTCCGATAATTAGACACAACTTAAGAGACTCACTTTTCTTTCATATTTATCTCAACATTAAAGCAAACATATATGCCTTTTTGTCTAGGCCGAGACTCGAACCTCAAGTTATACAACTACTCCAAAAGCAAAAAAAAAATAATTGATCTTTCATTGTTAAAGTGTATAAGATAGAATCCAAAAACATTATACAAGGGGTTGGATCTACGAATCATGTTTTTCATAATCCTTATTTCAGTTCATTCCTTATTTTTAATTAAGAATGTCTTTTTCCCCAGGTCGTCTATAGTTTTCTCTTTATGACCTCGTGAAAAAGTTTTACAATCATTAATCATATGTGTTATGTCCACTAATTAAGAATGGTAATATTTTTTTATTTTTGCAAGGTTGGTCCATGATAACATCTCATCTTTCATTGTCGGTCAGTAAATTCTTCTTACTAAAATAATGACACAATTGAACACACTCATTAGTCATTTCACACTTGTTTTGTTAGTATCTATATAGATATATAGATATACAGAGAGAGAGAGGAATATCACTGGAAGACAACAATTTTTTTTGTGAAGTATTCAAGTAAATTCAAAACAGGTATGAATCTGTGTCTATAGAATCATTAATTATATAATATGCATTCCAGACAAAAATATGTTATCAGTCAAAGCAACCCATGAGTTGTCATATAGAGATGGTCCAACCGGTTTGAACGCATGATATTTCTCAGTCCTATGTTTACATATTCAGTCAAAGAAAAATCTCATGGATTGAAAAATAAATAAATAAATAGAGAAATTACAGAAAACAGATAAGATTTTTAGGATCTGTTCCTTCAACAAAAAAAGGAGAGGTGCATGCTAAGATTCAAAAAAAAAAAATGTGGATGAAGTGCCAGCCAGACTCAAAGCTCTCTACGGTTTCTATAGGGGAGAGATGCATGCTAAGATTTAACAAAAAGGAAGGGAAAAGAAAGTGGATGTGAACTGTGAAGTGCAGGTTTGTGCTAAGTTTTGGTTTGGTGAGGTAAAAATTGACATGCAAGTGTTCCAGCATGTTAGGTGTGGTAGTGTTTTCCTCTAAGCCCACAGTACACCATAAATATGCAAACAATTGCGAATTCCTCAACAAATCAGGCCTATGTTTAGAATCTGTTCCTTTAACAAAAAAGGGAGAGATGCATGCTAAGATTCAAAAAAAAAAAAAAAAAATTGTGGATGAAGTGCCAGCCAGACTCAAAGCTCTATACGGTTTCTATAGGGGAGAGATGCATGCTAAGATTTAACAAAAAGGAAGGGAAAAGAAAGTGGATGTGAACTGTGAAGTGCAGGCTTGTGCTAAGTTTTGGTTTGGTGAGGTAAAAATTGACACGCAAGTGTTCCAGCATGTTAGGTGTGGTAGTGTTTTCCTCTAAGCCCACAGTACACCATAAATATGCAAACAATTGCGAATTCCTCAACAACTCAGGCCTATGTTTACATATTCAGTCAAAGACAAATCTCATGGATTGAAAAAAAATTAAATAAATAAATAAATAGATAAATTACAGAAAACAACTCAAAGATTTTTAGAATCTGTTCCTTCAACAGTCCAGTGGCAATTTTTTGAACATTCCACCACAAAATCGTCAACAAATCAGGCAACAAGCATACAAAAAATAATCGCTGAAAAATACTTGTTTTTATATAATTAACAACATCCATATATATATATATCAACTCTTCCTGCACACAGGATCATTGACCACAAAGATGCATCAATTTAACAAAAAAATGCACACAGTGGCTATGCCTATATATAATTAATTATATATCTATATATATATATATATATATATATATGTATATATACAATGCACACAGGATCTAACAGTGTCACCGGGTTGCAATCAAAACCCTTGCCTGCAGTCCACTGTGAATTTTTTGAACATTCCACCACAAAATCCCCATTACTGAACATTTTAATTGACACACAAATTACAAAATCAAAGCGAGTTAGAAGCTTGATACCAGAGGGTTGGCAGTTTGATGGTCCGGCGAAGCCACAGTACAGTATAAATAGAGATACAAGAGAGCATTCCTCGACAAATCAGGCAACAAGGTCCTAACCATATAATTTTTTTTTTCAGGCAAACAATAAATTAACTCACCTGGTGTCGACGATGAAGGTAAATAGACCGAGAATCGCTTGTGAATCCGAGAGTGCAGAGAGCAGCGGCGAAGCTTGGTTCGCCGGAAAACACAGAGGTCACAAAGGGGAAGTTTATCTTCAGATCTGCATACACAGTGGAACACCGACAAGCCCGATCTTGATTATACATGTGAGTAAATTTAGACAGAACTTGCAGACTCGTTTCAATGAAGAAGATGCATGTTTGGAACTCACCGGTGAGAAGAAGTCGTTGTCGAGAAGCTTCGTATTTACATCAATGGTGTCGATTTCAACCCAAGATCTCGGAAAGCTTCAGTACCTCCCAAGGGTACACTGTGAATCGCCTCAGTCGTAGAGAGAACCCTAGAACAAGATGGACCGAACAAGTATATTGTGTTCTCCGTGTTCCAACCGGTTGGGCTATTGTTCTAAATAATACAGTGAAAAGTGGGCCTTGCACAATTTGGGAACACTTTGGAACATGATTTTTTTGTTCCGGAAGTTGGCCCAAGAACTGAATTTGTTCTACAACTGTTGGACACAATACAGCCCACACCAAATAACCAAGTTTGCTCAACAATGCCCATTTGTACTGTAAGAAAGGACATAGAACAAGATGAAACAATGCCCACACCAAAGTGTTTCAAAGAAGCCACTTCACCTCTCTCAGCAGTGAATAAAAACAGAAAGTGCATGTGACTGAAACTACAAGGTGTGGATTTGAGGGTACACTTGTAGTTGAGGTTGGGTGGCCTCCTTTTCATCAATCCAACAACAATCAAAGCTGCCAACGCTCTAGGCGGTCATTTCCACTCACTGTTCTCTCTCTCCTCTCCTTTTCTCTCTCGTTTTCTCCGCCCCTTCCTTTTCCCCCATCTTTTTTATTCCTCTCCCCCCTCCCATCTCTCTCTCTCGTCACTCCTCCGAGACCAGGAGACCAGAACTCGCACGCCTACATATACATACAGTAATAATACTATCGGACATCACCACCACAATGTCTTCTGCTTTCTCTGCAACCCGAATTATCCAACCCCTTCCTGTCACCACCACCACCACCACCAGATCTCCCGAGAAATCCATTTTTGATCCTACCAAAGCCGCCTCGACCACAACCACCTCCTCTTTCCTCGGATCAACCCGCAAACTCCGCCTCAATTCTCACATTTTAGCAAACCCAATTCGAACACGCTGCCGATCCGCCTCCGTTGTTGCTGTCTCCGATGTCGTCAAGGTAAAGAAGACCCAACCCAGTTCATCCACCTCCAATCTGGTAAAAATTTCGCTCATCACTACCCTAATTCTCAAATCTCAATTGTTTTCTTCCAAACCCACTAAAGAATTGATTTTGTGTTTGCTATATATATTTTTGTGTACCAGTTGATTACGAAAGAAGAAGGATTGGTTCTTTATGAGGATATGGTATTGGGTAGATCATTCGAAGACATGTGTGCCCAGATGTATTACAGGGGCAAAATGTTTGGATTCGTCCATCTATACAACGGTCAAGAGGCCGTCTCTACGGGTTTCATCAAGCTCTTGAAACAGGAAGACTCTGTTGTCAGCACATACCGCGATCACGTTCACGCACTGAGCAAAGGCGTCCCTGCTCGCGCCGTCATGAGCGAGCTCTTCGGCAAGGCCACTGGGTGTTGCCGAGGCCAGGGTGGCTCTATGCACATGTTCTCCAAAGAACACAACCTTCTTGGTGGCTTTGCCTTCATCGGAGAGGGAATTCCGGTCGCCACCGGAGCCGCATTCACCAGTAAGTACAAGAGGGAGGTCCTGAAGGATGCGGATTGCGATCACGTGACCCTTGCGTTTTTCGGGGATGGGACTTGCAACAACGGGCAGTTCTTTGAGTGCTTGAACATGGCTGCATTGTGGAAATTGCCAATTGTGTTTGTTGTTGAAAACAATTTGTGGGCAATTGGGATGTCCCATTTGAGGTCTACTTCGGATCCCGAAATTTATAAGAAGGGACCAGCGTTTGGGATGCCGGGGGTGCATGTTGATGGGATGGATGTGTTGAAGGTGAGGGAGGTGGCAATGGAGGCAATTGGGAGAGCTAGGAGAGGGGAAGGGCCAAGCTTGATCGAATGTGAGACTTACAGATTTAGGGGACACTCTTTGGCTGATCCTGATGAGCTTCGTGACCCTGGTGAGCATCTAAATTCAGTTGTCTCCTTATTTCATAGCTGTACCTCACACTTACTTGGTTCTACTTCAATTTGATGAGGTTTATAGATTATGATTATTTATATTGTGATTATGATTGTGCTTCATTATTATTATTATTATTTCATTTTCTATTTATGCTTATGTACTGTATCTTGTATTGTGATTGAACTCCGACCTCTGCATTTTTTATGATCAAATAAAAATTGTTACCCTGCTGATTTCATATATTCGTGCTTGTAAAATTTCATCATTATCCTAGAGTTGAATTGTTCTTTGCTGTGTGTTCTTGATTCCCTTGAAATATCTACTTTGGAGATTTAGCTAAATAATTTTTATGGTACTGAATGTTGGGCAACTAGGGAACAACATTTGCATAAAGTGAGTGTGGCATAAATGCGAATGTTGAGATGGATGTATGGTAGGACTAGAAAGGATAGAATTGAAATGATCACATTCAGGAGATGGCTGGAGTAGCACTAATGGGAGATAAAATGTGAAAAAATAGGTTAAGATGGTTTGGACACATGCAAAGAAGACCTTTTAAGTGTGCCGGTTAGGAAAAGTGATATAATCCACGTTGAGGGTAATAATAGGGGAAGAGGAACACCTAAGTTAATGTGGGTAGAGTTAGTAAAGAAAAATATAATAGCATGTGGATTGACTGAGTTTATGGGCTTAAATAGAGCGAAATTGAAACATACGATTCATGTAGCAAACCCCAAGTAATTGGGAAAAGGCTTGGTTGTTGTTGTTTTTAAGGAAGTGTAATTCAATTTAAAGAAATGCAAGGGGTATAGACTTATAGTAACTTTACGACAACTGAGAATTGGAGTTTTCCCATTCAAAGCAAGAACATGGAGTTTCTGGGTTCATTAACTCATTTGCTGATATACTTTAATTAGCAGTCGATGATGATATGATCCTACCTACCTTGCTAGGTTAGACCTTAGCCCCCTGCTTCATCATTTTTATGGGAACATGGATATGTTTTTGTTTTGGCATGAAAGTTCTTGTCTTACAGGAAAACAGAGTGTTCTGTTTAATGTATCCATTCTTGGTAATGAAATAATATCACCAATTGCTGCATTATACTACTTTTGTCAAGTGTGGACAATACCAAATTACACCAGCGCTTGATACCAGACTTTCCTGTAGCTGGCAAGTGGTTTGAGTTCGATGAGAGGCATCTTTGCATTTTCTCGCTGTTCTGGTTATTTATAGTTCCTGGTTTGTTGCGTTTTGGTGTTTAAAGATGACAAGATGTTATTGTAGTTAAGTAGCTTTCTACATCCGTTTGCATCTAGTTATTGAAAGTTTGTTGTCAGAGAAACAATGAAATGGATGGGGTGACCCAGGAGTTACTTCTATTTTATTTCAATTTGTTTATTTTTTGCAATTTATAATGGCCCTTTCTAGAGGCCATATATTTCTCCACCTTAATTTTTTTTTTTTCATTTAATTTCGGCAGCTGAGAAGGCTCACTATGCTACTAGAGATCCCATAACAGCCCTAAAGAAGTACATGTTTGAGAACAATCTGGTCAGTGAAGCAGAGTTGAAGGCTATAGATAAGAAGATAGATGACTTGGTTGAGGAGGCTGTTGAGTTTGCAGATGCAAGCCCTGCTCCACCTCGTAGCCAGCTACTGGAGAATGTATTTGCAGATCCGAAAGGCTTTGGAATCGGACCTGATGGGAGGTACAGATGTGAGGATCCCAAGTTCACTCAAGGCACTGCTCATGTCTAAATTCTGGAGGCTGGTCATCTGCGGATCTTCTGAAGCTGGCTTTAGTAGTTGCACGGTTATGTGTCATTTCTGATAGCAATCACTAGTTTACTTTTTATGGATGCATCTAGTTTTGGTTATAAAAGAAGGTTTGTTGCTCAAGGTTTTTTCTTATTTCAACATTGGTCTTGCTTGGGGGGGGGGGGGGGAGGAGGGGGAACTGTCTTGCTTGTCTTTTAGTTTTTGTTCTGTTTCATCCTGTTTCATCGGAGCTCTAATTGGCAACCCCAAAGGGATGTAACCTTGTTTTCCAGTTTTGCAATTATGCATACTGATGGCTTGTAATTGTGCAATTATCAGAATTTCTATTTGCAAAATAAGCCATCTATACTGGGATTCTCTTGTTTGATTGTTGCAATGTTAGAATGAGAGCAAAGCACACCTAACACATGATTTTTTTTGGTCTATCTAAGGTTAAGGCTGCTACAACTACAGTTTATAAAAGTCTTTTTAATATATATGTATATGTATATATAATATTTGGAACCGTGATACCTGTATAGAAACTCTCTTGCACCTGAAAAGCTTATTTTAAACCATGTAGCTGTTGCCTTCAAAAGGTGATTTAGACCAAACTGGATTCTTTGGTGCTCAATATGTAACCCTTGTTCTTTGTAGTTCAACCTCTTAACTGACTTTTGTTTTTGCAGTCTATGGACACTAATCTGGAAAACCATAAAAGCCTGTGTCATGCTTACACATTCAAAGCATAATCTGAAAACTTTAATCCACACAATGTTGGATTAAACTTGTCATTTATGGGCACCATTTTATAAAGTTGGGGTTGGACGTGAGTTAGAAAAGTATAATCAAATTTGATTTTTGACCTGATTGAGAATAGTATATAACTGAACCGAAACAGTCCAATCTAAATTTGCTAATCCAAAACCTAATAGGATGATGGCTATCATTTATTTCATAAGATTGTTCATTGTTGAACATTATGACTATGACGGAGTAAGGCGGTATGGTGTACAATTAACTCTCCAAACTCTGCAATGGGAGCAACTTTGGACGCAGGGTTTGCCCTTATTATGGCGAGTGCTGAAATAATGGTTTCATGAGATTCAGTATTTTACTACATAAACAAAATTCTATAAAAGAGAACGATAATTTTTGTTTAATTATTTTGAGAATAGTTTCTGATATTATATAGATGTTAATCTAGACGTCAAATCAAACTTAAGCGATTGAACTAGTGATGGAGTGAACTGTGGATTCAAGGTCGTGTCGGATTAAACTAGACCTCTAGGTGGAGTTTAAGCTAACTAACCCCTTGGCCTTAGCACGTCCAAATTGCAATGTTTTGTTGTTATCAATGTTGTCCGAGTCTTTTGCTACTCATCCAGCATTACTTGTGGGGCTAGTAATCTCGCAGTTACTGACACCTTTTAATCATTGTTATTGTCAAGACTATGATCGGCATGGGTATTAGTTTCTATAGCTAGCTTTAGTTTTTGATTGGTGTTAGTAGTTCTTGTATGAATGATGTTGTTTGTTCCTTGTCTGTAGACGTCATATGGCGCAAAAAAAAAAAAAAAAAAAGAACTGTCCCTTTGTTTAGACGTTTTCTGGAAAATGTCCTCGTTTTTTGTTTTGTTTTGTTTTTTTTATTTTTTTATTTTTTTTATGTTTGGCAACACAAAAGTTAAGTAAAATATTTTTTTTATGTCAAACGGTTTCCATCATTTTTACAAAGACAATTTACGGCCCTATGTAACCACAAATCAATTCAAATATTTTGAAATAAAGCGTTGCATTTTCAAAATAATATATGTATTGATGTACAACACAAAAGGAAAAATGTTATTTAGACCATTTGTCTGTGGAGGAGTGTAATAGAAATAATTTTTATTCATTTTTTTTTTATCTCATCCACATAATCAAATAAATAGAAACTCTTTAAGGCTACATTATCATACAAAAAGAGATGAGGGTAAGCAGTGATGGTATGGCGATCTTGTGGTGGTATGGCGATTTTGTGGGTTGGTAAAAGAGGTGTTGGCAAGCTATCACATTGGGCGAGTTAGCATAATTTCACATTGCCTCGGTGTGAAAAAAGAAAGTGTAACATATCATAATATTTGGTGGGGTGAGTCGTTACAAATAGTATCGTAGCCTGACTCAGTCGAAAGTGCAGCCAACAAGGATATTAGGCCCAAGGAGGGATGATTGTGGTAACCTTGTGGATGGGTGAACCATGGATGGGGTACAAGAGACACTGACAAGCGGCAAAGTACTATACATGTAAGTGTGTCACTGTAGTATGAGACATTTTTTGATAAAGTCTAAAAGCAAAATCATGCGGGTTCAAATTCAAAACTAACAATACCATATCATATGGTAGAGTAAATCATCGTATCTTTTGGATAGTTAAGGATTTTCAATTAAAAACACCTAAAAATTACAAAAAATATATACAAATAGTATCGTAGCCTGACTCAGTCGAAAGTGCAGCCAATGAGGACATTAGGTCCAAGGAGGGGTGATTGTGGTAACCTTGTGGATGGGTGAACCATGGATGGGGTACAAGAGACACTGACAAGCAGCAAAGTACTATACATGTAAGTGTGTCACTGTAGTATGAGACATTTTTTGATAAAGTCTAAAAGCAAAATCGTGCGGGTTCAAATTCAAAACTAACAATATCATATCATATGGTAGAGTAAATCATCGTATCTTTTGGATAGTTAAGGATTTTCAATTAAAAACACTTAAAAATTACAATATATATACATATATATATATATATATATATATATATATGTGTGGTAGAGTGAGTCGTTACAAATAGTATCGTAGCCTGACTCAGTCGAAAATGCAGCCAACGAGGACATTAGGCCCAAGGAGGGGTGATTGTGGCAACCTTGTGGATGGGTGAACCATGGATGGGGTACAAGAGACGCGGCAAAGTATTATACATGTAAGTGTGTCACTGTAGTATGAGACATTTTTTGATAAAATCTAAAAACAAAATCGTGCGGGTTCAAATTCAAAACTAACAATATCATATCATATGGTAGAGTAAATCATCGTATCTTTTGGATAGTTAAGGATTTTTAATTAAAAACACCTAAAAATTACTATATATATATATATATATATTTTACATCCAAACAAACAAAAAAAAATAGCATTACTCTTCAAACATTATAGCTAGTCCTATTATTGAACCACCGTTCATGAGCCCACACGTTGGGCTTAGGCCCGGGCTCGGCCTCATAATGTGGGGTCTGCATATACATAATCTAGAAGCTGCGGTCTGCGGCTAGCTTTGGTCTGAGCTAGGTTTGCGAGTCTCGGAATTCCCTGCGATGGCCACTACTTGCTTAACACCATGTCCCTGTTCATCATCTTCTCTGGCCTCCAAAACCATCTCAAGAACCAGAGTAATCCAACCCTTCTTGTCTTCTTCTATTCGCTTTCGCTACCCAAAGCTTTCGTGCTCCCTTGTCCCCCTGTTTATCCCCATTTCTCACTTCTCTCAACCATTTGCTTCTTCTTCTTATCTCTTCTGCCACACCACCCACAAGACTAGCCTCATCACTGTCTCAGCCCTAGTAGAAGAGGAACCACTCGCTGAGACTCTACCGGAAGACGAAGAAGCGAACGCCGACGATTTGGCACCCAAGAACCTAATTAGACCATGTGAGCTCTATGTTTGTAATCTTCCTAGAAGTTGCGACATTTCAGAGCTTCTTCATATCTTCAAACCTTATGGAACTGTTCAGTCAGTAGAGGTGTTTGTCCTTCTTATCCTCTTTTTTACCCTGTAATTTATTTATTTTTTAAAAAATAATTTTATGGGTTTTGTAGAATTTTATTGAATTGTTCTTTTCTTTTGTTTAAGGTTTCCAGGAATGCGGAAACGGGCATAAGTAGAGGATGTGGTTATGTCACAATGAGCTCAATGGATGAAGCAAAAACTGCAATATCTGCTTTGGATGGCTCTGTAAGTGTCAAGTTTAGGTGCCTTTTTTACTTTTCCTGCTTATATGTATGTGTATTCCTTTTTGGTACTTAGGCTGAAATTGTATGCTATTGTTAAGGATGTAGGTGGACGTGAAATGAGGGTTAGGTTTTCGGTTGATGTGAATAGTACTACGAGGAAGCTTGAGGCATTGAATTCAACACCCAAGAAGAATTTGATATTTGAAAGTCCTTATAAAATTTATGTTGGCAATCTTGCCTGGTCTGTCAAACCTGAGGATTTGAGAAATCATTTTAGCCAATTTGGAACAGTTGTTAGTGCAAGGGTGTTGTATGACCGTAAAGGGGGAAAGAGCCGCGTTTACGGCTTTCTTTCCTTTTCCTCGGATGCTGAATCTGAGGCTGCAATGTCTTTGAATGGAACAGTTGAGTCCACTCCTTACATTTTTGTTTGATTTTACTTTCAACTGTATTTTTTCTTGTTACTTAATTGAAATTTCTCTTGGACAGGACTTTCATGGCAGGACACTACTAGTCAGAGAAATTTTTAACAGGACTGAGTCTTGACTCAAGTTTCACATGCTTTTGATGTTCATCATAAACAATGCTCTTATAAATATTAGAAGAGTCTGAGCATAGGATGAGGAAAAGGTATCTCACTCACTCGCACATCATATTTTACCGTTCTTATATATTTTCAATTTTTTTTTATACATTCTAAAATATGATAGCTTCACATAGAAAAATATTAGATCAGATATATTTCTGCGGATAGTTTTCATTACAGTTCAAGTTTTTCCCCTCAGACGCTTTGAGTAGATATAAACACTATGTTGCAATATCCTAAAAATGACAATTCAGCTTCTAAATTTCCTTGACGTGTGGACTCATATAATCATCCATTATATGCGCCATTTACTTTGATCTGAAAAGATTATATGAAGATGTATAGCAAAGAGTGCATATGGTGATGAGTTGTTGAGCTGTCAAGGGAGGGGCTGAACGAGAGTGCAAGGGGAATGATATAAACAAAAATCTTGGGGTCTGCTTGGTTTGTAACTATGGAAACAGTTTTTTGTTCTCTAAGAATTGAAAATAGAAAACTGTACAAAAACTATGGCCATGTCATATAGGCCCGAGTCAGACATCCAATTGCTTCGATTTGAATTATCCGGAGGATGCCTTATATATATAAAAAAAGATGGTCAATCAAACCTATTCTTAATCCTACTTGGTTCAGTTTTTTGAAAACTGTTTTCTAAAAACTCAGTTATAAAAAGGCATGTTTTTAGAGAATTGTCTTTTATAGTTATCTAAAAACAGTTTTCTGTTCTCTGAATTCTTGAGAACTGTTTTCAGAGTTACAAGCTAAGCAGGCCCTTGGATATTATATAAAAGTGTCTAGTAGCTACATGTGCACATTACTTTACTTCCCCACTGTCTCCAACCCCCAAGTAAGTCAAATGCTCGTTGCTTTTGGTGGGAAAATAAGCAATTTCAGATTCTCATTCTCTCGAGGGCAGGAAGATATATACGTCCTTATTGAATGGGCAGTGGCTCAGATCTTGAACCTGCACCCAAGGCGATCCTTTGTGGAAGAACATCACTGTTGTTTTCAGCTCTTGGCTACATCAAGCATAGTGGAGAAGGAGGAGAGGGTTAGTGTATTATAAGTTAGTCTTGACTAATTGACATCAGTATCATGTTTCCTTTTCCCTTCCCACCCTAATTTTATAGTCAGAACTTATTGCCAGGTAATGATTTTGTGGTGCATGGTTTTTCTGAAATATCAAGGCCTAATAACAAAAAGAACTCATGAACATCAATGAAGTTAGAAAATGCAATTGTGGGTCAGTGGCTGTAAAGAATTTTCATGTGTTCATTTGGCAATCTTAATGTTTAATAGCACCCCAAGAGGAAACATGAGAGCTTTCAGTTGGGAAATTCTTGTTTCAGGATTGCCTTCAAGTTGAGTATTAGCCTTAGGGAAGGTTCTGAAGTTGACTGTAAGACCTAAGCTAAACTTCTTCTCGAGCTTAGACTTGAATTTAATAAAATTATATTTGAGAATAACCTTTTTCCAATAATAATTGGTAATCAAAGAGTAGACTTTAATGCATCAAAACTGATAGCTTATCAGGAATATAAATAAATAAATAAAAATAAAATATGCGGCTTCTCTCACATCCAAGCTCTTCTCCGAAACCTCTCTAATGTTGTACGTTTGTGGATGCAATGATGTGTTTCTAATGCCCTCAATTAAGGCATTCTAGTGTTACTTGAGCTGCTTATTCTTTGAAGGAGCAAAAATGGCAGATTTTACATTAGCAGTGCGGTTAATTTTGTTCCTCATATGGTTATGGTCCACTGCATGAAATTTCTGTCTAAATGCGTCTGTCTTAAAAGGAAAGGTTTAGAGAAATTTTGAAATGGTAATCATAGACTCTTTTATGCAATTGAGGAATGAAGACGTGGAAAAAAATATTATGTTCGTATTAAACAACTACTATATATGTGAATCCTTAACCTTTCTTTGTTGTGGCCGTCAAAAGTTATTGTTTAAGGGTCTGGGCAAGGGACACATACATGGTTTAAATGCAAGGCTTTTAAAGAATATTGAATTCCCACCTACACAAGTTAATTACCCACAAACATGGATGTATGGTTGATACTTAAGAGTTATACCAAGAACTGGTAAACTTAACGATTACCAATTTAAGCAGCTTTGTGTCAATCCATAATATAGAAATTCATAGCAGATGAAAAACACTTTTTTTACTGCATTAAATACGGAGAGAGTTTACAATTAGTGATTTTGTTTGCAAGGCCTAATATCCCAGCCTTTTACTTCTTCGAATATAGCTGATGGGCAGAAATCTCAAATTGTAATTAGGGTTGAGATTGAAATGCTGATTTTGAACTTCTTCTAAAATAATGTGTTTTTTTTTTTTTTCTTCTCTCCGATGAATTTTTTTATGGTACCGGACCCAAAATGTACATGTAAAATACCGACATTATTTTCCTAATATTGGTTGTACTTCTACCTTGATAGTGGTTGTGTTCATGAATCTGAAAATTGAACTAATTCACAATGATTGTTTTTTTCTAGAAAAAGGAATATGCTGAGTCCCTATCTTTTGTCTTTCAACTTTCAAGTACACAAGAAGATTAGAACAGTTATCTATGGAGTGGCTATCTGTTGCCTATCTTTTGGAGTTGGGTTTAGCTGTATTAAAGAGGAGAAACTACTCCGGATGCTCATCACTCTGTCTGACTGCCCATTGTGATTCTACCATTCACTGAAACCAGAGGTGCTGAAATCACAGTACTTGTCGCATAGCTGTGATGGTCACTTGGAATAATTTCTCACTGAGTTGTTTTATTTGCCATATGGATTGCGGATTGTATTTTTTTTTTTACAAGTACAGACGATATATTTGCTTTCAGCAGCTTCTAAATTGAGTAGTTTTTATAAAGCTTTGCGGTCATGCTCAGAAAGATTTAATTTTCCTCACGGTTACTCTCTTCTGTCATCTTTTGCTGTTGCAGATCCCTGTTTTCTTCTGAACTGAAGCGATGTTAAAAAATTCCAATGAGAATCAATGGTTCAGTCACCTTCCCCACTCAATTTTTATTATTTGCTAGAAAGAAAAGAATGCCTTTCTTGTTAATGGATGAAACCCCAAATGCTCATCTGTGTAACTGGATCCTTAATGAAGGTTTTGTTTTTTTCAAATGAAATTTCCTGTGCGCATGTATCTTTCTTTTTGCATGCGGGAATAAAAAAGGCCGCCTTATATATTACATGTTATTATACATGCACTGCTGGCATTGCTAGTGTAATGTGTCATGATTGTTGATTTTTTTTCTCTCTGTGTGGTATGATGATTCTTGACTTCATCCACGGATTAAAATGATTATGAGAACTTCCACCATATAACCATGACAAATGTAAAGGCACGTGAGCGTTATCTTGCAAAATATCCGAGTCAAAATCCCACTCTATACCAGAAATTGCAAAGCTCTCACGCTATACTTCGGCAAACCCCATTCCCTAAAAAGTAGAACTGCTCTCTCTTACCTACAAGAATTGTCTGTACTGTACTTGGAGGAGGCAGAGTAACCTTCCCAAATTAACTCGAATACCTAGCAATTGTAATTACACACTGCTGGCCACTTCATTTCTAGTTGCTTTCAGCAAAACATCTGGTGCCACCCAGAGCTTGAACCTTTATGTGAATTCTTATACAAACAAGAGAAATAACATTGCAACTGTATTTCATCGAATATCTCATGCTTTTAAATTAAGGTCATGCTTGACCAGGAAAAAAGAAAAAAACATATAAACACCATCTCAGGCATATGGGAAAGGAAGGCAACACCTGATGATGAAACCACCCATCTGCAGCTCTTTCGACTCCCGTGGGCATGTTGTTTGCAGCTCTAAGAGATTCCATGAGCATGATGAACATATTTTTTGGTAAATAATGAGTATGTAGAAGAGGAAGAGATTTTTGCTATTGCATATGATAGCTTCAATTTGCGGTGGCACCTCAAAGGAGATTAAGCAGTGAAACCACCTGAGACTAATGGCTCTCATTAGAACAGGACAGGTTAAGGAAAGCGCAATTCTATGAGCTAGATAAGCGCATCTTTAAGCAGTACTTGAGATATCAGCAAAGATCCAATATTCCACCCAGATTGGTGCTGCTTGGTTACCGGCAACTAGTTGATCTCCCCAGATCCAAAAACTTTTCTGGTTCAGTTAACCGGAAAAAGATTAGAAAATTTTTAGTGCCTACAATAAATATAGAGACCAAAATATTCACACATCTTCTGCATTTAGTCTCTTGCATCAGCCCCTTAGAACATTACCAATGGAAACATGAAAAGTATATTTTTATATTGATTTGTGCATTGTCATAATAATCGGTCTTTCCGAAGTTGTGAAATGAATTTAGTTAGAGCTGAAACAACTTAGCTGCAAATCGACCACTGCAATCCAGCATTCTGAAGGACTGCTGCAGTAAGTCGTAAAAATAAATATAAAGCTATTGGCCATATGTGGCTAAACTAACTGTGCCCTTCACATCCAGTGAACCAAAATTGCCTCCTACAGCCATATAAGTTGCAGTATCCCTGAGTTATATCGAATAACACTACCTGACTCCAGGCTGCATCATCTAGTACAATTTAGTAGCCTAATAAAACACTACACTATGCATTCTCTTAACCCGAACCTGTACAACATATATCCACCAAAAGGTGGCGAAACTCAAAGAACATCACAGTTTAAGAAATTTATGAACCAGAGAACAATGAACTTTCAAAATATTGCTTGCCATTCCAAGCCAACAACGTCAATAAATATCTAGATAAATAAGCATAAAAAATCATAGAAAACAATTCTATACATCACCGAACATCATAATTTATAAAACAATACAGACAATGACTCATTTTAGTTAAACCACTGAACCATAACAAGGGCAGCAAGTGATTATACTAAAAATATGAAAGAACTGCGGGTGATATGAACTCGTACCTGGAACCTCACAGCTTCTCATTACAAGGGGAGTAGCAGTGGATCATTAAACCTAACAACAAAGAACATTCAAGCCTTTCTCGATCTAGCTCGTGTCTTCCTGATCAAGTATTCCTCCAAACCAACCCCTGCTTCCATTAATCTCGTGTCAGGCCTTATCTCCACCTTCAAAATCTCTTGTAAAATATCCCTCATTTTAGTAATATCATCCACCTCACAAATCCTTGGTATAATTTCTTCCCAAGTACCCATATGTGGAGTCTCCCCATGCCTCAGCATTTCCTCCAACATTCCACAAGCATCCTCAATCCTACCAATGTTACAGAAGCCCGTAATTAAAGAATGAAACACAGAAAAATGGGGAGAAAACCCATTGGAAATCATTTCCTCCATATATTTCTTTGCTTCATCATACATACCCTTATCACATAACCCACCCACCAAGGTCCTATAAGACACCAAATTGGGCAAGCACCCATTGGGGGGCATATCCTCAAGAACCTTACAAGCATCAAGAGCGCGCCCTTCCCTACAGAATCCTAAGATAACCGTATTGTAATGAACAATATCAGGATTGCACCCCTTAACCTTCATCCTACACAGAAGCTTGTAAGCCTCCTTAAGCTTCCTCTTCCTACACAAACTATTCAACAATGTGGTGTAACACAGAGTATCCGGAACGAACCCTTTATTCAACATATCCTCCAACAAGTCAAAAGCCGTATTCACCTGACTCTTTCTACACAAGCCCTGCATTATAATCCGATAAGACTCAACATCGGGAACAACATCTCTCTTAAACATTTGGTTGAACAGTGAGTAGGCAATGCTGAGATCACCATTCAAACAGAAAGCACGCATCAGAATGTTGTAGGATTTGGTGTTGGGTGAGACTCCAAACCGTGGAGTGGACTTGAATAGATCAAAAGCGGGTCGGATGTAAATCCGGTGTGCGACGAGGACTTCAAGAATACGGTTCAATTGCCTGGGAAGAGGCATAATGTCGAATTCAAGCATCCTATAGAATGTTTTGAGAGCTTTTTCAGGCAAATTGGCGTCACCGTAGATTCGTATGATGTCGGAGAAGAGAGAAGGAGTGACGGGGTAGCGATCGGACTTGAGGCGAGAGAGGAGGTCCTCCATGAACGAGAAGTGGCGAGATCGGCCGAGCTTGAGGATGAGAGTGTGGAAGCAAGAGTAGGAATGACGAAAATTGGGTTGTCGAGAAGCTAAATCGAAGATTTCTTTTGCAAGGAGTGGGTCTGATTGGGAAGATATCAACTTTTGGATTCGAGCTGGGGACCCAATTGGGGAATTAGATTGAAAATCTTGTTTATGTTGATATTGTTGGTGTTGGGTTGTTGAGAAATGAAGAGCAAATGTAGAAGTTTTTAGGGGGAGAGGGGAGCTACTGATGACCATTATTACAGTTCTGGAGGAACGAAGATAGGATTGGTTCATTTTCGATTTGACACGATGAAGTTGGGAGTAGACGAAAGAACACCTGAACCTAACAATGCCGGACACTCGAACCTCGGCGTCTTGACTTGCGTTGTCATTGAGTCGTTGATCGTTAACTTTAGAGTGAGCTTATGGGCGTTCAATAATACTTGGGCCAGGACTGGTCCATGAGGCCTTGAATCCCATTGCAGATCTTTAGCCCTTCCATAAAGATCTCTAAAATGCACCCTTTTGTTAGAGCATCCCACTAGCCTTTTTTTGAATTTTGGCTCTCTAAAAATATCATTTCAGCTTATAAAAAAATCACGTTAGCATCTTTCGCTCTCCAAAAACAGACACTCCATTAGATTCTCCAAATTTTCGCTCTCAAAAAAATAATAATAATAATATTTTTTTTTTACTTTTTCCTAATGACTAAATTTCTAACCGCTACATTCCTAACAGTTATATTTGTAACGGCTATATTTCGTATACTAAATTTTTTATTATGTAATGGTTTTAAAATATTAAAAATAATAAAATTGTTTCTCAACGGTAATATTTTTCAATCAAACAATATCCTTGCAAATTATTTTAAAAGTTATGATTGATATTATAACTTTAAACAATACATTATCCATTATGGATTAAAAAAAATTAAACAAAACAATTAAAAATAACATAAACAATACAATATCTTGAATTGGAATAAGAAAATAAATAGACTAAGGATTACAAAATCCTATGGGAACTTTGAGGCAAACCGTGAAAGCATAGATTCCAATATCTCATGTTGTTGTGCAATAATTCAAGTTTTCCCGCTTCTGTTGGTGCCAAATTTGGATCAGTTAACCTAATCTCCTTCTCTTTAGCTCTTTTTTTCTCCTCAATCTCCATCTATCTGGCCAACTGTTTCTCTTGAATCTCCAACTGCCTCATCTTCACTTTCTTCATTTTTCTTACATCTCATGCCACTTGAGCATCCTTCATTTTTTCCTGACGACTCTCATAACAGCATTTGAGATCATTAAAATTGGTAACGAATGGATTTTGCAATTCAAATGCTGAATTATTTTTTGCTCGGCGTTGCTTCACCATTTTTCTTCCTGTTGGTCGTTATAGTTGTTGATATTCTTCCACACCAGGTGAATCATTTTTCCCTATGTGTGGTGATTCTTCAATTGAAGCTCCATCTATCGTGGCTGCATGACTTAACGGAGTAGATGGTAATGAGTGCCCAACAGACTCATTAACGTCATAGTCAAATCCACTACTCTTCTTCGGTTATTTTTTCTTTTTTTTCTTTTTCTACTTGTTCAACACAATGTGAATGTCATTTAGGCCATGTTTGGTGTGAGTGAATAGAATCAAATGAAGTTGGAATGGAATACTTTTGTTTCCATTCTCTTGTTTGGTGTGTCACATTAAAAGTGGAATGGCCATTCCAAGGCATTCCCAATGAATGGCCATTCCATCAAAAAGGTGGAATGCTCATTCCTCTTCTTAAGACGTGGAATGATCATTCCATTCCCACTAATAATAAAATAAAATAAAAAAATCAAAGACAAAAAATACCCTTTTGCTTCGTTTCAAGCAGATCTACCACCAATGTCTCTCTCTCTCTCTACGATACCAAAAATCCTTCTGGATTCTTGTTTCAGACAAATCTACCAACAAGGTTGCTCTCTCTCTACGACACCTCCGCTCTCTCTTTGTGACCGTACATTCTTTCTTTTCCTCTCTTTTCAACGCTAACCTAGATCTCTTTATCTTCATACATATAACGAATAATATATAAATATATATAATATGTATATATATAGACAATTTTCTCTCTCTAAATCTTTTATGTGTTGTGTTTATTTGGTTTGTGCTCTATCTCTATCCATACAGCTCGACCCGTGTGTGTATATGTGTGTATGTGTGTGTGTGTGTGTGTGTGTGTGTGTGGACAAACTGCTGAACAGGTACCACACACACGTATACACATGCATATTAGGGCTATTAGTCATCGTTTCTGTAACAAGTATCGCAGTAGAACAATTTTATTTTCAGATTATTGTTGGTTGATTTATCTTTTTTATCATGTTTTTCAACTTATAGAATAATTTTTTTCCTTATTTGAGAGAGATTTTGGATTTGACTTATTCTTTTACCTATTTAATAAGTTCGGCAGCTGTTTTGATAGTTTTGAATTTGTGTATCCTATTTTCTAGTTCCAGTGTTGTGTTGGTGGGCCTTCTCCTTTTCATTTTTAGAATGATGTTCATCCTTCTTTCTTGTGTTATTGCTGATTGATTTATCTTTCTTGGCATGTTTTCAACTCATAGAATAATTTTTCCCTTATTTGAGAGAGATTTTGGATTTGACTTATTTTTTTACATATTTAATAAGTTCGGCAACTGTTTTGGTAATTTTGAATTTGTGTATCCCATGGGTTTTTCTAGTTCCAGTGTTATGTTAATAGGCCTTCTCCTTTTCATTTTTGGAATGATGTTCATCCTTTTTTCTTATGTTATTTTCAGATTGTTACTGATTGATTTATCTTTCTTGGCATGCTTTTCAACTTATATAAGAAGTTCGGCAGCTGTTTTGGTAGTTTTGAATTTGCAATTGAATCATTTATCTTTTGTAATTGTTGTTGAATATTTCAACATGTAATTCATTTATCTTTTTGGCATGTTTTTCAATTTATTGAATTATCTTTTTTCCCCTTCTATAGTTATATTTTATTGTTCTTAAGATTGTTTGATAAGTTTGATAGGATAGGAGAATTATGTTAGGCGTTTTAAATTAGGGATGGAAAGTAAACCGGGTAAAAATAAAAGAAAGTGGACTGACGAAGAAGATATGAAACTTATTGGAGCTCTTCTTGATTTATATAACACTGAGAAGTACAATATTGATCGTGGTTTTAAACTCGGTCATTTTCAAGTTGTGGAAAAAATACTTGCAAACAATTTACCAAGTTCAGGCTTAAAGGCAGACCCATATATTAAATCAAGAATGAAAATTTTGAAAACTCATTTTGACGTTGTCCACGATATGTTAAATGTTAGTGGATTTGGTTATGACGAAATGAAACAGTGCGTGGTAGCTGAAAAAGCAGTATGGGATGCCTACTTACAGGTATTTGTTTATACATTACTTTATTTAGATAAATCCTTTTATATTATGATGTGCTCAATAATTATTTTTCTTTGTTAATATGCAGTCATAAGAATGTTGTAAAATTCAAAGATAAGTTGTTTCCACACTACAAGGAGTTGCGCAAAATATTTGAAAAGGATTGTACTAACGGTAAAGAAGCTGCAACACCAAATGATGTTTTAAAAGCACTAGAAGATGAAGAACTTGATAAGAAGAAATAGGTTGATAATGATGAAGTTGAAGACCCTTTAGATGAAATACTAATACCAATAATAGTTGGCAATACTAGTGAAACAAGTTCTAAAAAGAATAGAAAGAGAAGATGCCAAAATGTGAAGAAATGATATTAGAAGTGGTAAAAAATTCATCAAGTTTCATTGGCTCTAAGATGGATTCATTGAGTGAATGCATTAGTAGAGCAATTGAAGATGCATCATTGAAATATATGAAACTCAAACTAAATAAAAAATTGAAGAAATTATCCGGTTTTAACATGGTTAAGAGACATAGAGCAACTGCTAAACTTGCTCTTGATCATGACTTGCTAGATATTTTTTTTACAATTGAAGATGTGGAGAAGGAAGCTTGGGTTATGGAAGTAGTTCTTTAAATGCTACTTAAACTTTTGGATATGATTTTTTGATCATGACTTGCTATGGTTTTTGGATATTTATATAACTCTTATTAAGTTTAGACTTTTGAATATGATTTGGATGAACTATGTAGTTCTTTTTGGATATTTATATAACTCTTATAATATGGTTTGTGAATGATCAATCTGTTTTTGCAATTAACATCATAGATTTTATGCTTTCAGCTTGTTATACTTTATTGGGTCCTTTTAATGCTTCTATTATTTTAGGCCAAGTATGGTGTCTTGGTTTGACTATTTCTATTTTCTTGGCAAGCATGTGATGCAAATGTGTAAATTAAAGTATTCGCAATTCTTTTAAATTTATATTAGATCATTTTTAACAAATTACATCTTTGATACTATGGCAAGTAGGTGATACATTTGCTTGGCATTTTATAAGATAATTTTTTGAAAAAATATATATATAGATTACACATTATAAGATAATTGTATTTTTTTTTATTTTATAAAAATACATTAATTGGCATAAGCTAGTTTTATTATTTACTAAGAATATGTCACTTTGTTTTAATATAACTGATATATTACAAGTAAGGGTATTTTGGATAAACCAATTTATAAATCATTCTATTCCAGTTTTTTATTTGATCTAACCAAACATAGGAATGAGAATGATAATTTCATTCTCTGTTTGCATCCAAACAATGGAATGAGAATGCTCATTCCATTCCTAAATGATTCCCATTCCATTCCTACTTACATTCCATTTTTGCGTACCAAACATGGCCTTATTGTTATTCTTCAAGATATGCCAATAATTTTCTAGAGTAACGATGGTTACACTGAAGCCATGCATCGAATTGTTGAGCAAAATGATGTGACAGTTCAGCTGGCAAAAAATGTGATTTTTTACTAATTTGCTTATTCACGTTTACTGTTCACTATACGTAATTTTTAAAACCTCTCTGCCATCCCCAATTTATTGGAAAAAGTTTCTCTTCCGATTTGATGCGATCTGCAACAACTCTAAATGTTTTGATTATCTACAACAAGCATTTGACGATTTGTAACTTTTGACGATTTGTAGAGTACCTTTGCTAAATCATATATATATATATATCAATCTCCATGTATATGTATATATTGCTGCAAATTTTAGATGGAATTATTTGATCAGTACTAGTCGTCTGAATGAATCTCTATTTAATGGATTGACTTTTTGACATTACAGCAACATATACATATACAGGGAGATTGATATATATATATGATTTACTAAAGGTACTTAATAGCTCTAAATCGTCAAAAAGTCAAAACATTTGGAGTTGTTGCAGATCGTGTTGAATCGGAGGAAAAAAAATGCTACAAATTAGGGACGGCAAAGAGGTTTCTAAAATTAGGGATAGTGAACAGTAAACGTGAA